AGGGCATGACCTCTGGAGCCGGAAGCTGTTTGTAGACCAAACCAGAGCCCCAAGACAAGCCTGGCCTCTACTTTTGCTCCCTGCACCATGAGCTTCATAGCAATGTGAAACTCAAGCTGCTCTGTGCTCCGCCCCCACTGCTACCAGGGTACCCAGTGATACCCCGAAGCAGCCCACACTGCTCCCCAGAGTGCTGGCTGCTCAGCAGGGGACCCTGCGCAGCTGAGAGCTCCAGGACAGACGCTGCCTTTGTAACTGACAGACTAAAAGGCCGGAAGGTAAAACAGGGCTGGAGATGTGGTCACAAGAGGGCTAAAGCAGGAGTCAGAAAGGCCAAGCTTTGAAAATGGGGAGAAGGGGATACATAGGAACAACAGGTCCTGCCAGCCCTTACAGCCCTATTTATCGAAAAACCACTCTCGCTGGGCTTCTGAACTCTCCACGCATCAGCTGCCATGAGGACTGTGTCGTAGCAGGGAGGTCCTGAGGTTGCACTGGGCAGATGGCCCCAGCAGACGCTGAGACTCTGACAAGATCCTGTCTTCTGCTTCTGCACAGCAGTTACCTGTTCTGGCAGGGTTGGGAGAGCTGGCAGGATCTGTTCCACTCCTCAGTGCCCTCTCAGGCCAAGGAAAATGTCAGCCTCGCCTCCGTCCGCAGCCCAAGCTTTACATTATCTCATCTGATCTCCCATGTGACCCTACGGAGAACCCAGGGTAAACTGGCTCCCCCACACACACACACTGTGCAAACAAGGCAGCTGAGACTCACGGTTGTGGAAGTGTTTGCTAATAAACTGAAAGCACAGGACTAAGATCTTTTGAACACGAGCTTCAAACAGGCCCACCGTTCCACACTACCTGTCCTGGGAACCTTGTAAGGGGGCATGAACAGGGCAGACCTGCCCCTACGGCTCTGAAACAGCACAGATTACAGGGAACTGCAAGTCAAATCCTAGCTAGGTGCTGGTTCCTAGAAGGAACAAAGCAGTATATTGCATACAGATAGAACTCTAACTAGAAAATATGAATATCATGAAGCTTCACATTCCTAAAATTATAGCTTCAAAGTATATAAAGCAAAACTGGTTAAAAGAAAAAAATTCTGGGCATGATGGCCTCTGGGAGGCCAAGGTAGGAAGATTCCAAGTTCAAGACCAGCCTGGGGCTGGGGAGATGGCTCAGTGGAATAAGCACTTCCCTGGCAAGCGCAAGGGCCTGAGTTCAATCCCCGGTTCCGCTAAAAAAAAAAAAGAAAAAGACCAGCCTGGGTTCAATCCTCAGTACTGGAGGAAAAAAACAACGAGAAGGAACTCCCAAGCAAAGGAGATTTTATACATTTCTCTCAAAAATAGATAAATGAAGTGAATTAGCAAGTCTTACTCTGGTCTCAAATTCCTTTGTGCCCTTAAAAATTGAGAGTCCAAAAAGACCTTTCATTTATGTGGATTTATACCTATAGTTACATACCATGTTTGAAATTTAAAATCAGGAAGAAAAAAAAGTTAAGTGTATTAATTCAGCTAAGTAATCATTATATGTCAATATAAATAAATTTTTCACAAAAAGTATATTTTCCAACGAGAAAGTATTTAGTGAGAAGAGTGGCATGCCTTTATATTTTGTAAGTCGCTTTAATGTCCAGCTTAATAGACGACACTGGGTTCTCCTATCTGCCTCTGCACTTAATTTATTGCCACATGGACTTTGGTTGAAGAATATGGAGAAAATTTGGTCTCACACGAAAATGTCGTTGGAAAAGGGAGAGGCCTCCAGATAATTGTGGACATTCTTCCTTGATAAGATCTCCCTCAAAAGTGACAAATGGTTATTTCTTAAATGTTTGCTATAATATAGACTCTGAAACCATATCAATAAACTGTTCTTACTCTAGTACCTTAAATTGGTCTGTCTCATACTTTGAGTAAACCTGTGAAGTATGTACAGTTTTAAACTTATAGACCTTCAAAAGGGTCTTGAGAATCCCCTGGGGTAACCTGACTTATTTAGAGAACCACTGAACTAAGCAATAAAAAGGTAGAAAATGTAGGATTTGACACATAATGAACAAGTTTGGTCAAAGTGGCATCTTGGTTCGAAGAGGTATCTGAGTAGGTATCTACACAGAGCCTTGGTCATAACAAACCACAAATATGTATTCTTGTGAACAAACAGTCCCTCCATCAGCTGCAGAAACACGTGCCTAGACAGACTGCACACACTCCAGGGTGGACAGATGCCCAGCACGCCGGGTGGCCCTCCAGCTGCAGAGCCTTGGGTCAGCCTCATCACCAAGGCATACCACATCACAGGGAGCCTTCTCCCTCTGCTGCAGAGCCAGGGTAACATGCTGGCCACAAAGGGAGGCTCCCGACAGGAGGCACAGCCCTGGCAGGGCTCATGCCTGGGAAGGGCTTCCCTCCTCACTCTCACCACCTGTCCAGTCAGTGAGCCTTTGGGGCTCAGAGTTGCCATGTAAAGGCTGCCCATCTTCCCTTCCCAGGTCCCATTGCCCTCTGGAGCCCCCCTGGGGCTGCCAGGCACAGACTTACACATGTCTTACCATGGTTTGTCTTTACATAAGCAGCAGCAGGATCAATGCTGGGTCTGTCCAGGTCAGGCACTGGGACACCCAAAAACAGCTGCCCAAGGACCCAGCACCTTGGAGGCCCCACCACCCCCAACAGTGTCCAGGATTACACCTCCCCTGGAGGACAGAAGGCTACCCCTCATGGAAGGGTGGAGGAGCTGGAGACTAGGGAGAAGAACTGCTGCTCTGAACCCCAAATCAAAACTAGAGGCATAATGTCTGAAACAGTTTTCAGAGCACATTCAACATTTCTAGCCCACAGTCACACACCTTTGGAGATCTTACATTCCTAAGTGTTCTTCACCTGCTGGCACTGGCAGAGACTTTCCTTTCATTCATTCATTTGCTTTATTTGCCCATCACAAAAGCTACTGAGGAAATTCCATTTTACAAACCAGCAAATTGAGGGTCAAAACAGTCAAGAACTTGCCCAAGATCACACAGCCAGTAAGAAGCCATAAGCAGCCCCAATTTGAATCTCTGTCTACAGTTAGGGCTAAAGGCCCCTTAGTACACCACACTGCCTAGGCCTGCAAACAGCACTCCTTCACCTGGGTGATCATCTGCAGTTTTATTTGCTTGCTTGTTTGGTTGGTTGGTTGGTTGGTTGGTTGGTTGGTTGTTTTCTTGGTGTTTTGAGATGGGTCTCATTAGATAGCCCAGGCTGGTCTCAAACTTAATAGCCTCCTGCCTCTACCTCCTAAGTGCTAGGATTGTAGGCATGCACCACCACACTTGGCTTCAAAGCCTTTTAATGGTAGGGACTGAGAGGGGCAAAGAAAGTGTCCAGCTTGCTGTATCAGAACCCAACATGGTCATCCTGGAACTCAAAAGACATCTTGTTCCAACCCCATCTCTGCCTGTTAAACCACCTGCCTCCTCTGCCCTGCCTTGTGTCTTCAGCCTACAATTTAGAGCAGGTGAAGCAGGGCCAGGTCCTCTCACCTGTGTCCCTACCCACTGCACGCTGTGCTCTGCACAGTATTCAGACAGATTGGCTGGGATGTGAGAAGTGTTCCCAACCTCTCTACCACCTCTACAAAGACCAACCCAAGAGAAGATGGGATCCTTAGAAATGGGGAGTCTCCCTCCTAAGAAATTCCTCCCCAGGACCCTTCCCACCAAAGGCTGGAAATCAGGAGTATGACAAGACTCTTAAGAAAGTCCCTCCTCAGGTAGTATTAAGCCTTTCCTTCAAGTTCCTATCACAAGAAAACCAAGGAAGGCATGGCCCAGACTGGAAGGAAAAATACCCAGCTTGGAATCCCTGAAAGTCACCTCCCTCTCTGATGACTCTCTGGATGCCTTCTTCAATGACATTATTAATTCCTTCCTCCATTTTTTTTTTTTTCAGAACCAGGGATTGAACTCAGGTCCTTGCACTTGCTAGGCAAGCACTTATTCCACTGAGCCATCTCCCCGGCCCCCCATATTGTTTTCTACTCCTTGATAAAATTTATCTCACCTTTGGAGACCCACACTAGGGATTCAAATCCTGGCCCTCTCCTGAGCAATATGGCTTAGGATCGATCCCTTTACCTCTCTGAGCTTCTGCAAGGCCACTAGGCCTACAGAATCAGAATCCAGACCTCCTAGTGTTTCTGGCCCCTGACTCTAGAACCAGACTTTCTGGGCCCAAATGCTGGCTGTGGGGTTCACGTAATCTCTCTTGGCCTCAACATCTGCATCTGTAAGGTGAGGACAACAATACTCCTACCTGCCTTGTAGCTATGCTACCAGAACTAAACAAGGCGCTTCAGGCAATGCACTTAGAACAGGCTTGACACACCATTCACACCCAGTAAGTACCAGTTACCACTAGAATGGAGTCCTCCTGCACCATCCCTGGCACTTAGAGCTCATAAAACAGAAGCCACACTTACCTGAACACACACACACACACACACACACACACACACACACACACCCCCGCTACATCTGGGTCTTAGCCCTTTCTGATCTGCCCGCTGTGGGCAGAGGAGCTCAATCAGTGAACACCCTGAGACGGCAGAGGGAAGCACTGCCCTCCTGGACCAGCGGGTCTGCTCTGGAGAACAGCAGAGAAGGTGTGGGGAAGAGAAAACAGAAGACAGTGAGCAAGGAGAGAGATAAGCAAGAGTGAGAAAACGAACGGGGGGGAGGGGGGGGCTGAGGCGGAGAAAGATAAGGCGGAGGGATGGAGAAGGCCAGGAGCGAGCAAAACGCCAGGCAGGCGCAGGAGCGCCCGAGAGAGGTGCGCTGTGAACTGCCAGCGCACCGGCGGAAAGCGCCCAGCCGGCTCGGGCGGGGGCGAGGGGCTCCACCCTGCCCCGCCGCCCTGGGGCGGGGGCCGGTCGGCCTGAGATTGGCTGGGGCACGCAGTGAGGCCCGGCCGGGAGCCCTGAGGTGGGAGGCGCCTGGAGCACTTGGGGCACCCGGAGTGGAGCGGAGCGAAGGCTGCCACCCTCTCGGGCCACCTCAGCGGCGGCTGCTGGGGCTCGCAGACCAGCGCGGCCATGCGGGCAGCGGCGGGGGTCGCGCGGGCGGCGGCGCTGGCGCTGCTGGGGGCGCTGCTCTGCGTCCCGGTGCGCGGCGAGGAGTACGAGTACTACGGCTGGCAGGCCGAGCCGCTGCACGGCCGCTTCTACTCCAAGCCGCCCCAGTGCCTTGACATCCCCGCCGACCTGCCGCTCTGCCACACAGTGGGGTACAAGCGCATGCGGCTGCCCAACCTGCTGGAGCACGAGAGCCTGGCCGAGGTGAAGCAGCAGGCGAGCAGCTGGCTGCCGCTGCTGGCCAAGCGCTGCCACTCGGACACGCAGGTCTTCCTCTGCTCGCTCTTCGCGCCCGTCTGCCTCGACCGGCCCATCTACCCGTGCCGCTCGCTGTGCGAGGCCGTGCGCGCCGGCTGCGCGCCGCTCATGGAGGCCTACGGCTTCCCCTGGCCCGAGATGCTGCACTGCCACAAGTTCCCCCTGGACAACGACCTCTGCATCGCCGTGCAGTTCGGGCACTTGCCCGCCACCGCGCCTCCAGGTAGCGTCACCGCCCCCCTCGCCCGGCTGCACTGGGCGCCTGCGAGCCTGGCCCGGACACTTGCCACCCCAGACCCCGTGCCATCCTTACACATGCACGCGCTCACACTCACCCGCGCGCTTGCGCGTCGCCCTGCACTGCACCCCGGGAGTGGTCTCTTGCTGCCTGCCCAGTCCCAGACTGAGGGCTGCCCGAGCAGTGGGTCCCTGCGCTCCCAGCGTCCCAAAGGTTCTCTGGCATTCCAGCCCTGACGAGGCCCGCCTTCCCAAGCCGCTGAATTCCTCGGTGCCCTGGGTCCCCTGCAAGTAGTTTACTGACTTTCTCAGCCCAAGAATGCCCAGGGCACCTTAAAGTGCAGTTCACCTGGACCCCAGGGACCAAGACCACCCCTACCTCGTGTTGGGACCTTGGGAAGGGAAGTCGGGGTAAGGAAGAACTGGGGGGTTTGGAGGGCTCCTGGGCTATGCCCCTCTCATTTCTATGCCTGGACCCTAACTTCCCCCGCCCTCTTCTTGGATTCCCGGGTTCAGCACTTGGATAAGGCTCAGCACTTCAGCCTCAGAACCTCAGGGGAATTGCTTAATTTCTCTGCACCTCTGGTTTCCCCATAAAAAGGAAAGAAGGAAAGAAGGAAAGAAGGAAGGAAGGAAGGAAGGAAGGAAGGAAGGAAGGAAGGAAGGAAGGAAGAAAGGAAGGAAGATAGATATAGATAGATTCATTAGACCTGTAAAATGCTAAATACCGCCTCCCAGCCACACCCCCAGTGCCAGTACCCCTGATTTCTGCTCAGGGTAGCAGTCCCTTCCCGTGGGTCCCTACAGGTCTGTGCCCCTTGCCCTTTCCCTCCCAGTAACTCCTTTCCAAGCTGTCTGGACACCCAGTGTCCAGCAAGAGGATTAATCACAACACCCAGTGCAGCCTCGCCCGGGCTTTAGCACAGGGCACAACCCGCCTCCTGCTGGGCTCACCCCAAAAGCAGCACCACTCCTTCTCCTGCCCTCCCTACTGCCCTTAAAGCCACTAAACTGCACCACAGCCCCAGGCTAACCTTCCCTCCAGTGTGCCCACCCCTCCACAGTGTGCCCTCTCCTCTGTGGTCCTGTGCCTGGGGGCAGAGGGAAAGCCCCTATCCTGCAGGTTAGCATCCAAACAGGAGCTGGAGAGGGAGCCCAAGAAGCAGAGTCATGGACCAGGCAGGATCCCTGCAGGTTCCTTATCTGGTTTCTTTTAGAGCCCAGACATTAACAACCTGGGAAACCCCACTTGGCCTGCGCTCCCCACTCTGCCAGCCCATGAGTCCCCTCCCCCAATGACAGGCACCTACCTAGAGGCAGACACAGGAGCAGGTGGACAGAGTGCAGGATGGTGGCCTGAGGACTGGAAGCTGCCTGGAGAAGTGCTTTTATAGCCAACAGATAACACTCAGAATATTTCATATAAAAATGAATCTTGAGAATAAGCACTTGCCTGGCAAGAGCAAGGCCCTGAGTTCAATCCCTGGTACCACAAAAAAATTTACATTTAAATTTTAAAAAAATGAATCTTGGCTTCCCTTAAAAAATCATAAGTTCCAGTATCACTAATTGGCCCACCTCGGAGGAGGGCCTTCTCAGTCTAGCACAGACCCAGCCCTGCCCACTTCACTGTATACCCCCTACCTGGTACCCACAAGCAGCCCCATCCTGGTACTAAATGGGCAGTCACAAATCCCGAAACCTAAGCTGGGTTCTCATGAGCTCTGTGGACTTGGGTAACCACTCTGGGCCTAAGTTTCCTCTCTCTCTCTCTCTCTCTCTCTCTCTCTCTCTCTCTCCCCGGAACCAGGGATTGAACTCAGGCCCTTGCGCTTGCCAGGCAAGCACTTATTCTACTGAGCTATCTCCCCAGCCCCATAAGTTTCCTTTTCCCTAAGAGAAATAATAGTAACTGCTTCAAAGGCTGAGAATTAGATGGGATAAACTTTAAAGGGAAATGTGCATCATGGTTGCAGCTGCCAGGGCTGCGGCGCGGTGTGTCCCCCTGAACAGTACCAGTCCCCACAATGTTGTCTCCTGTGCAGCACTATCTCCATCATCTGCTTTCCTGGAGGAATGGGGGGCAGCCGGCCAGTGGGAGTTCTGCACAGTAGGTGGCTCTTTGGACCCCAAACTCCTCACCGACTGCCACCCACCCAGCCATGCTTTCTCTCTGCAGTGACCAAGATCTGCACCCAATGTGAGATGGAGCACAGCGCCGATGGCCTCATGGAGCAGATGTGCTCCAGTGACTTTGGTGAGTATGGGCCACGTGCCTGGGCCCTGGCATTGCCCCCCGCTGTCTCCCTGACACACAGACTAACATGGGTGCCCACACCCATCACATAAGCCCCACAAGCTCCAGCCCTTTTAGAATCTGATGATACCCATAAACCCTCTCCCCATAGAGATGTACCCTTTTTTGCACATCATCCCAGAAGCTTCAGAAGCCCCTCAAGGTCATGGGCTATGGGCCTCAGAAACCATCCCTGGCTGGGGCTCCTGCAGCCCTTCCTTGGCACTGTCCACAGAGGGCACCCCCAGCTGGAGGTCTCTTTGGGGGATGTAGGCTTGCCCCAGAGACAGGAGAAACTGTGGTAGGAGAGAAGGGCTGACGGCTAAAAGTGGAGATCCTCATCCCTGGCTATTCTGTGCCAATACCCACAGTTCCACTGGCCAGGGGTTCCACTGGTCACCTGTCCCCACAACTTCATCCTAATCTCCCCTTCCTGGGACAACCATACCAAGCCTAACTAGAACCTAACTCACTTGTGGGCCATAAAGTTCAAGGGCAACCTTTGCCAAGTCAGTTCCTTGCATTGGTCTTATCTTCCCTGTCAATAAAAAAAAAAGAAAAATGAATACTATTAAATCCTTTCTTCGGATGAGTATTCCATGTCAGTAGCCTTGGGAAGAAATGCTGCTGTATCGTAAGGTGTGTGTGCGCGCGCGTGTGTCTGTGTGTGTGTGTGTGTGTGTGTGATTCAGAAAGGAGGAAGGAGGAGGGGAGAGAAAGTTGTTTTAGGGCAGTTTCCTTCCTAGGGGGCAGTGTCATTCCCTGGATTCTGGTCTATGTAGGGAGCCAGAGACCTGAAGAAAGGAGAGTGTAGCCCAGGGGACTCCCCACCTGCCTCCAGCCCAGGCTTACTGTCCCCAACTATATCAGACCCCGGGCCACCCTGGGGTAACCCAGCGGTGACTGTCCGGGGTTCTGCCGTCATCTCCCTGCATGCTCTCATTCCTACACATCCTACAAACACGCTCTCAGAGACCACGATACGCAGTCCCGCTGTCTCAGGCTCCCTTCCCTCTCTCCTGTGCACACGTGCACCCACACGCACACAGAGGTGACAGCGGTACATCCACGGCACAGCTGCTCTACGCGCTTCTCTTCCCAGCTCTGTGCCCCATGATGTGATGCGGTTGGTCACGGTGGGTATCAGAAAATGCCTCAAGGAGGAAGGCCGCGCCTCCCTCCCAGTGCTGGCTGTTACAGCCCACTGCTGCTCCATGCCCTTACCACATGTACGCACACATACACCCTCCAAACACGCATACGCACACACAGCCAGAAATCCCATCAGAATCAGTCCGCCTGAGCATGAAGCCCAGCCTTCCTCCCCGAGGACCTCCTTTAGAGGTTACAACCAACTCCAACACCTGCCCCCAGGACTCCAGGCTGGGCAGACTTCCATCCAGGCACTGCAATTCAGGCAAGACACACCCTCTCCCCACCTCATTTTCCCCTCCTGTACTTTGAGCATGAAGCTCTGTAGGCCCATGAAAGTCCAGCACCTGATAGGCGCTTTATGAATATTAAAACATATTCATGTGAGCCCCACCCTCCAAGCCCTATGGTGCAGCAGGCTCCCTGAGCCCTAAGGAGAATTACGAGGCATGTCCTCAGACCCAAGCCCCCTCAGGCTGCCCCTCTGCTCTCTCCCACAGTGGTCAAAATGCGCATTAAGGAGATCAAGATAGAGAATGGAGACCGGAAGTTGATAGGAGCCCAGAAGAAGAAGAAGCTACTCAAGCCAGGCCCCTTGAAGCGCAAGGACGCCAAGAGGCTGGTTCTGCACATGAAGAACGGCGCAGGCTGCCCCTGCCCACAGCTGGACAGCCTGGCAGGCAGCTTCCTGGTCATGGGCCGCAAAGTGGACGGACAGCTACTGCTCATGGCCGTCTACCGCTGGGACAAGAAGAATAAGGAGATGAAGTTTGCTGTCAAATTCATGTTCTCCTACCCCTGCTCCCTCTACTACCCCTTCTTCTACGGGGCCGCAGAGCCCCACTGAAGGGCACTCCTCCCTGCCCCCGCCAGCCAGCTGTGCCTTGCCCTCTGTCCCTGCCCATCCGGCCTTGTGCCCACTCCCAGGCTGACCCAGGTGCTGGCAGAGGGTAGTCTCCTACAGAGTTGAGAGGGGCCCAGCCCCACAGATGGGCCCAGGGCCTAGGGCCAGTCCTTCGAGACAGCTCTGGGTCTTCAGCTTTCTTTTAGAAGACAGACTTTCTCTTCTGGGGTTTCCTCTTCTCAGGAAGAGGCCAGAGGGAGGGCAGAGCAAGGGAAGGGTGGAGGGCAGCCTGAGGAGGGAGCCCCCCACATGCAGTGCCTTAGGGCCATGTCTCCACATTGGGCCAGGCCACTTGGGGAGTTCTCCCCGCTGCCCCTCTATGTCCCTTCACAGCCCTCCAAAGCCGAGGAGGGAGGGTCCCCATGCCTCTCTCCCAGGCCACTACCCCAGGCCTCAGCCAGCCCCCAGCCAGGTCCGCTCCTTGGGCTCCTTGCCTCGTCTCTGCATCTCCCTTTTCCCCGATAATGCTAAGTTATTACTACTGCAGTGAAGCCATGGGTTCTAGATGACAGATTCAAGCAGGGTTGGATTTAATTGGGGTTTTTTTAAAGTTTTTAATTAAATTTAAAAAAAAAAAAAAAAAGAACAGTTGGTTTGGACTGATAATTTGTCAGCTGGTTCCAAAGAGGGAAGAGGTAAAGGAAGCTTATGATGGACTATTAGCAAGAGGTCCTTATCCTAACTGCCACTGGGCCACACAGACCCCCATGGGATGCCTAAGACAAGCAATGTGCTGATTTATAGGCTCCCTGAGAGCACACCGCAACCGTCACCCTCATACCCAATCACTAAGTGAGGGGTGTCCCAGAAGAACAGGGGTGTTGGGTTCCCCAGCTTGCTGCCCCTAATCAATAGACTTCCACAGCGGGACAGCATCCCTGCCTCCCTGGCAGTGCCTGGCCTAAGGAGTCTAAGGCGGCCAGGCCACAGGGAACTAGACCTGGAGAGCCCGAGGCCTCGGGGATGTCACTCCTCCCTTTGGGCTTTCCAACACCACTGGGCAAAGGTCTGACCTGTGAGTGACAGTGCCTTAGACCAGCACTACTCTAAGCGTGATCCCTGGGGTCAGCAGCAGCAGGGACGGCACTGCCCAGGAACTAGCTGGAAACTCAGACTCTCAATAGCATTGCACTGAGCTACAGCCCAGCACACCCTGCTGTTGACAAGGCCTCACTAAATTGCCCAAACCGAGCTTGAAGTCCTCCTGCCCCCCAAAATGCTTCCAGGCCTGACCACCACACCCAGCTCAGCATCTGCTCGCTAACACTTGAGCAGCACGAGATAATCGAGAGAGCTTTCATACAACACTAAACGCCACCCTGACACTAGAATGCCAAGGAAGCACCGGAAAGCAGTATGTTTAGTCACTGGGTGATGTGCAGCCGTAGTTGAGAACCAGTACCAAGGTAAAGCAACCCCTGAGGTAAGGAAAGGGGCTTGGGTCTGCAGTGGGCTCGGAGCCGGTGGAGGTGGATGATGCAGAAGTGGGTGGAGGCTTGGAAGGCCACTGTTACCCACATGGCCAACATTTGGAAGGGGGGGTTCCCAGACAAAGCTCCCTGGGCCCTCAGTAGATACTAAGGAATAGAGATGGTGTCCCCAGAGCAGGACCCGAGAACTCCCTGAGGGCCTTCTCTGGCCAGCGAGTGTGGGAAGTCCAGGGAAGTCCAGCTGCTCCTCCAAGACAAAGGAGCCCCCAGATGAAGGTAACCCAGCGTCTGCAGCGCTTGGGCGCACATCAGCCCGAAGGAATGGCGAGGCGGCTTCTCTAGAATGCTGACTTTCCTCTCTCTCTCTCTCTCTCTCTCTCTCTCTCTCTCTCTCTCTCGTCTCGCTAACAGGTGGTCTGACAACCTGCCTATAAATCACCCCGGGGGCAGTCAGGTGGCCCCAGCAGGAGCAGCAAAAGCCTCCTGGTTTCGTCTTACCCTTAGCCACTGCCACCCACTCTGCCCAAACCCTGCCCAGCCCTCCTGACTCCCTGAATCTGCCCCTTGTCTCCCAGCCTCCTACCCCAACCAAATATTTATGGACACTTCTATGGTCAACCAGGACCAGGGATTATTTTTCCACTGAGCACACAGGACTCAGGCCCACCCCTGGCTGAAGCACAATGCTGACCTCTGTCAGGTGCTGGCAGCAGAGCAGTGCAGTGGTGAGGAGAGGGCTCCTCCACACCCCAGGAAGGCCAGTCAGGACCTGCCACCTTCACAGGAGCCCAGGACTGGCCTGTACGTGTACTCTGCCAGGCCCCCGAGGAACTGTTTCTGGGACCAAGAAGAATCCATCCCCAAAGCAGGAAGGCCCTGCAAGGGCCCTGTCCCTCCCCTCCAGTCGCTGCCAGCTCCACTGCTCTCTCTCCTGACTGATGAGGACCACAGCTGGGCCCAGCATGTCAGAGAACTGCCGCTGCCCACAAGAACACAGCAGAAAGACTGGTGCTGTGGGGGTACACAGGTGGGAGGTCTGTGTCCCCCACTCCTGCGTTCCTGCCCTGTAGTGGAAGGAGCACTTTTGTTCTGGCAGTTACAAGATGGCGCCTCTTCCTCCCAACTTCCCAGCCACATTCCAGGCAGGAAGGCGGGGAAAGGTTAAGAGCAAAATCTGCATGTCAGCTGTTTCCAGCCCTTTTGATCAAGAAAAATAGTTCTGTTCCAACTAGGCCCACCTGGTAGATTTCCACTACTAGCTCACTGGCCAGAGCTAAATCACAGCCCCTCTCCACACTGCAAGACAGCAGAGAAAATCACGTTTTCCACCAGGTACAGAATCAGAAATCTAGTATAAAGGAGGAAGTATCTGGAGGTAAGTGAGCACACAGGGCTGGGGTGAGAACACACAGCCTAGATCCATCTGGCTTCTACCCTGTGACGTAGAGGCTGCGTGGCTGAGAACACAGCCTGCTACGAGGAGGAGTACATTGGCTGCTTCTCAGGGTCACCGAGTGTTAAGTGTTAGATGCACGGAATGTACCTGGAAACAATGCACAGAATTCACAAAACGTTAAGTAGCTGTTCCTATTTTTATGAATTAAAGCCATGACCTAGCAGTGCCTATACATAATAGGTGCTCGGTAACAGCCCTGATTCCTTAACCGAGACACACAAATGGCAGGAAGGCAGGGGAAAGCCAAGAGGATTTGCTCTTGAAGCCAGAATTACAGAATCAACACGGGCCTTTGCTCAGAACTGTACCTCCCGAGCCTGGGGTGATGGCACATACCTACGATCCCAGCACTCCAGAGGTTAGGCAGAAGGGTTACTGTGAGTTCAGGGCCAGCTCAGGGTACCCTGTGGCCCAAGATCAGCCTCAACTATAGAGCAAGATCCTGTCTCAAATAAAAAAGCAGAAAGAAAACCCACAGTACACATCTATTTCTCTTATTAGTAGATAAGCCAAAATTAGGGTGAAGACATCTAATCCCAGCAATCAATGAATATCAAGGCCACAATGGATAGGTAGCAGGCCTGAATGCGTCCATATTCTAATTTATGCTTCCCAACAGTCCTTGGAGACAGTGTGCCTTAATGACCGTGCTGCAGCTCAGTAAGTTAAGCAGCAAGGTGGTGCAGGGGACCTGACCTCCCATTTTTCAGCAACGCACCATCTGCCGAGGCAAAGCTGAGGACAACCAGCGGGGGCACACAGCCGTGTCTCCATTGTAGACCCGCTGCCCGGGAAGGTTTCTGGGAGCCCTGCCCCAGCTCACTGCCAGGGAGGGCCTGATGGAGACAGAGCAGCCAGTGGCTTTTCTCCCAGTTCCCAGACAGCCCACCCCAACCCCTCCTCTCCTCACTCGTGCCAGCACCCAGCCCAAGTCCCCACAAAGGAAGCTCACATCCCACAACTGTTTAGCCGGCTGCAATCCCGACCAAAGTTCACAACTTGGGAAATCTAATGTGGGGAGCAGTTGCTGCTGGAATGTGTGTGGCTGGGACCCAGTGTCCCAGCCCAGACAGTAGGCTGTGTTGGGGCTGGGAAGAAAGCTGGCAGCCCAGGGAACCCGGAATCCCCAGCCCCCGGCTGTGCCAGAGAATGGAATGTGCTGCACTCTGGGTGTCAAGCAGGAGGTGGGGGGCCTTGGAGCTGGGAGAGGCAGGGGCTCCTGTCACAAGGCTGCCTCTGTTCTGCTGGAGATTGAGCCCACTTCGTTGCCGCTGGGCTGAAGACAGGAGAGAAGACAGAGGAGAGGAGAAGACTGTGCTTGGGAGCTGACACTCCTACGAGCGCGCGCAGCGGGCAGCTCCTGAGTTGGTGGGGACCAGGCAGAACGGAGAATGACCGCCCGGAGTGCTGCTCCTCAGAGTTTCTCTTAGGCCTGTACCTGCACCTGCACCACAATTCCCATCCTCACGATGGCCTTCTAGAGCTGTGATCGTGGGCAGGTTACCTAAGTGGAGTTAACCACACAACACCCCCAGCTGCAGGGACCATCATGGGGCCAAAGTGTTGCCTGGCGCAGATCTCGATGGAGGGGGTGTGCGTGTCCTGAGGCCCGCTGGCTGTAGGACAGACTCGGAGCCAGGTCCCTCAGAGAGTGCGTGGAGAGTTCCGCAGGGATACAGAGCTGAAGATGGAGCTTCACGTGGCTTTAGCCCCAAGAGCCACAGATCCTGAAAACCCCAGACACTACTGCCAGCTCCGGGCACCAGTCCCCAAAGGCCAAGCCAGGCCGAAGGCTGGCATCCCGGGTCTGCCCCAGCAGGCACCAGGGCTACAGCACAACTTGGCTACCTGGGTCTTTAGGACAAAGTGGGAACTGTCTCCAAACCCAGCATCCAATCCTATGGAGCGTAGTGTGTCTCCCAGGCCATCCCCCGTGTGGGCCCTCCTCACACTGTGGACCCCTAACCAGCCATAAAGTGCCATTCAGTCCTGCCTTGTATATTCCTCTGCGGCTTCATTCTTCCAGCAGGACTTGAACTTTAAAGATGACATCCCTTCACTCAGGGGGCTGAGGCAGGAGGATTCCAAGTTTAAGGCTAGCAGGGACTACACAGCAAGGCCTGTCTCAAGAAAAAAAGAAACCAAACAAAGATGATGCTTCTCGCCTGCTCTCACATGTACGCACCTCAAGGACACAGAAGGGGGCCCTTGGTGTCCTTGCGAGGCTGCTGACCACCAAGGGGGAAACACGCTTCTCTCCTCTCTGAAACCCACCGGCTGCAGGCACAGCCTTCCCCAAGTTCCTCCTCGTAGTGTGGGCACGTCACCACTAGGCACTGTTGCCATTTTCCAAAAATAAAACAATACTGACACTGCTTTTTCAAACTACACCCATGGCTTTCCCTGACCTTCTTCTCTGAAAAATAATCTAAAATTATTCTCTGGCTTAAAAGGAAAACAAATTACTGTGCTAAGTCAGGCAGGCAGAGGTGTGTACTCTGTGCTCAAGGGCTGCTGGGATGCCAGCACACTGTGCCTCACGTGGACTGAACTGAACAGCAGCCCAAAGTCAGCATCGCGGCCACACCCGCTTCACAGGCCAGGGCACAGCAGAGCGGGGTACAGCTGGACCCCCGCAGGCACCCGCCTCTGCTGCTGCTGCTGCTAGGTGCCACTGGTTCAATCCTGGGAGAACAGTACCTACCTCCCAAGCTTGCTGTGGGCATTAATGTGCTATAAGGTGCTTACTGCAGCGCCTGGCTCCCTGGAAACACCCACCCCACCCAACTCTCAGGGCCTGCTTAGACCTCCGACAGCCACTCCTGCCTGCTGGCTCTCGGCCTCCAGGAGCCCTGACCCTTTTTGGCTTTCTCAGGATTAACTAAAGTCATTCCATTCTAAAGCCCTCATTGTTAGCATTTATCAAACGCTGGTCCCAAGTCAGGTCACAAGACACAGCCTCAAGCCTGCAATCAGCCCAGCAAGTGCCAAAGCCTGCGTGCAAGGCACAGCCTTCCTCTTCTTAAGCCGGAGACGACACCCACACCAGGCTGCTGCCCCACATCCCTGCCTCCAGGGGTGCTCAAAGGCTTTCCCTACAGCCAGACTCAGGAGAAGGCAGCCCTGAGCTGTGTAGCCAGGGAGAGCAGGCCCTCCAGCCCTCGGCAGTGTCAGTGCAAAAGATGGCAACATAAGAAGCTTGGAGCCTTTTATTGATAATTTTTTATACAGAGATCCTTTCGCTCCTCTCCAGTGTAAATAAGCATAAAAAACTTAACCCTCATCTCCCAGCAAGGCAAAGTGGGGCTACCAAGGCCTGCCTGGTTCCCCTAAGCCTGGTACCTTCAGGCCCCAGCTGCCAAGCCTTCACCAAATAGCGTGGCCAGGGCGGGCCACCTGCCCCCCACTGCCTAAGTCCATGCTTTGGGGGCAGAAATGCCTCAGCCACTTATGCCTTGAGGTCCCAGGCAACCTGTAACTCCAGCAGAGGCCTAGGCAGAAGATCCGCATCGACTTCATCCTATTCCCTGTGCTGTATGTTCCCATATACCACGAAATAAATAAATAAATACAGTGGGAAGGCAGGGCAGCTGCAGGGTGAGGGTACTGAGCCAGCCCATGGCTTTGGGGAAAGATGCTAGGGCCAGCAACCAGAGGAAATACAGAATTGTGGGGAGATGAAGACCCAAGAGGACCCCAGGGAACAGCCCTCGAGCCTAGGGCCCAGCCCAGTGAGATCCCACACTTCCCAGGACCTTAAAGAGCTTTGGACCTCTGCTCTGCTTATCTGACCTCACTCCATGGGACACAGGACAGGGAAAGGAGAAGGTTTTCCTGCACTTGGGCAGGGGGAACAAGCAAGTGATTTGAGGGCCTTCAGCCACCCAGGTGGAGCTGGGGACACCAGGGCACCATGTAGCTGAGATCCCTCAAGTCCATTCTTCAGTGGAGCTTCCCCATGCTGTGTCCCTGTTTTGCAGGTCCTCTGAGGCTGAGGGACTGGCCCTACACTCTGCAGGGAGGAACTTTTTCCAAGCTCCAGTCTCCTGGAATCTGCAGGCCTGGCCACATTGGTCCTCATCAGCAGCTCTGCTGAGCCAGACCTAACTCCGGGGACCAGCCAGGGCCCCTTCACCGAGCCAGAGCAGAGCAAGGCCAATACGGCTTCTAGGGACAGCTCCCCTCAGCTCTGAGCACAGCACTGCAAACAGGGGAAGGAAGGAGAAGCCTCCTAAGTGGTCAGGCCCACCTGCGCAGCACAAGCACAGGGGAGAGGGGGTCTCCTCTTGGCCCCAGGACTGCTTCCCGCGGAGCCTGGCCTCTTCTCACTTGCTCAAGGTCTGATTACAGGAGGCACACACAAACACAGTCTCTCTTTGGGCTTCAGGGGCTGAAAAGGAAGAGGGTGGTGAGATACTTCTTTATGCCCTTTGGCTCATGGCCACAAGCGCTAGGCCCACCCTCCCCAAAGACCCGGAGAGACCACCCACCACCCAGGCCATGCCCTCCCTGATCCAGCCTCGAGCCTGCCCTCAGGCACCCTCCAGGGAAACTGGGCCTCTGGGCAGTGATGCCAGGTGCAGCCCTTCCCAGGTGTTCCACACATGAGAAATTCTTTGGCACCATCAGAACATCTCTGAAAGTGTTTTTTAAATAAAACACTTTTCCCAAAACATTTTAGCAGTGCTTAACTCTGGGTGGTAAGTCTACAGGATCATTTTTGTCTCCCTCCTGCACAGTAATTTCCAGCTTTTCTATTTAATAAGTATGTGTCATTTCCAAGATCAGAAAAGAAAAACCTCGAGTTTGCCGTGCAGCACAACACAGCAAGTGCGCCGCGAGCACATCTTTCAGCATCTGCGTGCGTGCTTGAGGCAGACAGGGCCCGCAGCCAACTACTGTCTCTGAAGCCCGCTAGCAGCACTCTTTTCCCTGTCTTTTACCTACATGCTTTACTTACAGTGCGTACATTTAGCTTTCACATAAAGAGATTATTTTTAAATTTTGTTTGAAAATACCAAATTGGCTGGGGTTTCCCGGGGAGGGCAGAGGGGCTCCTCTGCAAAGTGCTCCATGTACCACTCCTTAACTTTCGGAAGCAGGCACAGGCACGCGCTTTGCTGTCATGATTCCCGATTCCTAGGCACAGCAGATCTACTCTTGGCCCACACCAAATGTTACGGTTTCCATTTATTAATAGGATGGAGATGTCGCTGCAGGCCTTGGGCTAGGACCCCTCACTCTTTTCCTACAATGCGGCCTCCCCTTGACTGGCAGGAGGCAGCCACACCCTGTCATGACCCACTGCCAGTACAACTCACCTGTGGCCCCCATGGAGGACTTGGGCACCTTGAAGGAGCAGCACCGAGAGCAGAAGCTGTTCCCACAGTTACTGCAGCTCCGCTGTGGACAACAGCCAAAGAAAATGTCAGCTGCAGCTCCCACCCCAGGTACTTGGAGCCCTGAGCACATCCCTCCTTTCCACTGGCCAGTTCCACTCAGGGAAACCGGGCCTGGAGAGGTGCCCAAGCAGGGCAGAATACATGGAACACCACATAGGCAGGCTGGTGAAGGTGGCACATGGGCAAGTAAGATACACCATACTTGCTTGAGCAAACACCACAAGTGCCAGGCCCCGGGACTTGCGGAGTCACACTTCACCAGTGACTCCTTTCCACTCCCCGACAGCCCAGTCACAAGCACAGTGCTCCCAGCAAAAATACCTCAAGAGACTTACCCGCTTCTTCAGCACTGAGAAGGTGGCAGAGCAGCCTGTACAGTTCCCTGAGAACAGAGGCAGCAGCTCAGTCTTGGCCCAGACCAGGCCTCTCGACCCTCACCTGCTTCTAGCTCTTGTAAGTGAGGCCCAAAGGATACCAGCCAGCCCAGCTCCTCCACAGGGCACAGAACGTAAGGACGCAGGGCCCAGATTCAGAGCCAAAAGGAAATGCTGTCCCCGGGCATGCATGGCTCTCATCCCTGCCTCTTCTTTGAATGTTATAAATATTCTATCTACAGGGTAGACAGAAATGTCTCCTAGAAATGTAGACTGCAACTTTCTGTCAAAGAATTCTAAGAGAGACAGCTAGCTTGGAACCGGCACTTTCCAAGAAGACCCACAGGTCAGAATGCTCAAAGCACTGTGAGTAGCAGGCACGATGGGGGATACGGCCAGGAGAACGTTTCTGCCTGAACAACCAGCAATGGCAGCTTAGAAGATGGCTAGGAGAAGACAAGGGTGGTACAAGGAGGAATGAAGGGCGGGGAAGGCAGTTTCTAGACAAAGGGTGTGAGGCCTGCTACGACATGGCCCGAGAACTATCAGCTTCAGGGAGCACTTCTGCGCGTCCCAGGTCACATGTCCAGTCAGTTGAAAGGCCTCCCCTTCACACAGCAGCCCTGAAGCTACGTGACAGCTCCAAATGGGTCTATCCTGGGGGCTGGAGAGATGGCTCAGTGGTCTAAAGCACCTACTTGAAACAAGCTTCGCAAAGCACAGGGACCTCGGTTCGATCCTCCAGCACCACATGCCAGCCAGCCCCGCCCCCTGGTGGGCTGAGCTGGCCACACAGACACACACACAATAAATAAATGTAAATGTAATAAATAAAAATAAATAAATATTTAAAAAAAAAAAAAAAAAACAAATGGGTCTATCCTGCCCGAATCACCTATGGCGCTTGCTAAAGCAGCTTTCCTGGGACTACGGAAAGAAGAACAGCTAGAGTCGGGGGGACTGAGGCCACTACAGGTTCTACAGAACACCTCCTGGGGGCTGGTCAGGTCTCAGCTCTTGGCAGAGGAAACGAGAAAAGCAAAGGCCATGCCCACAGGTGGTACGGGGACCGCACTGCTACAAGATGACCCCTATACTCAGAACTGAGAAGGCAGCCTGCCCCACCTCCTCTTAGTCAGGGTGCAGAGGAACAGGACAGGACACCAGCGCTACTCAAATGCTGACATTCTGGCCCATGTCTGGGAATCCCTCTGAGCTGGATGGAGAGCCAGGGCCAAGGACCCGGCAGACACAGGCCCAGTACCCACACAGAGGCCTGGCATCACGGAGAGCTTTGGGGTAGGAGCGTGGCGTAGACCGCACATGGAGGATAAGCACAACCCTTCCCCTTCCAATGTGAGCTCACTCTTTCGGCCCTCACTCTCAGCAAAGGCCTGGCCTCATGCATTCTGATCTGCCACGTGATGAGGCCACAAAGAGAGAGCAGCAGGAGCCAAATGCTCTATAGTCATGCAGCCTCCAGGACGGAGAGGCCCTCGTCACCAGCACTCACCCAGCTGGAGGCCACAGCAAAGCTCCTGAGTAACTGGTCCTCATGCTTCCCATGTGCCCATTTATCCCCTGGCAAGCAGAATGGACAGCCCCTGCTAGAACTGCCCCTAGAGTTCACATGGTAGATTCTGCTCCCCAAGCAGACCAAGCATGGTGGTGCACACTTCAGTCCCAGCACTCGGGAGGCCAAGGCCGGAGGATCATTGAGAGTCTAAGGCCAGCTTGGGCTACAAAGTGAGTTTTAGGTCAGCCTGAACTGCACTGATGGTATCACAAAGTGAGGCCTCTGGGAGGTGACTGGCAGGACCCTCGTGGGGACACTGGTGTCCTAGGGGATGCCAGGGGATGCCTCGCCCACCCCACTATCGGAAGAGGCAGCCAGAAGCAGGAAGCACCTATGAAGCAGGACGCAGGCCCTCCCCAGCCCTGGTCGTGCTGGGCCCTTGATCTTGCACTTCCGGCCCCAAAGCAGACAGAGCTCTGTTGTTTCTTTAAGCCACCCAGCGTCGTGTATTGAGCTACAGCAGGCCAAAGAGACTAAGGCAGCCCCCAAAGCGCCGCCTACCCTGTCCTGGAGGCAGAGGGCAAGAGCATCTCAGGGGAGAAGCGCCTGCAGGATGAGCAGCAAGGAGGTACTTGGGCTAACAGCCTGTCTTGCCCTTGCCATCCTGGAGGGAACCTGATAGGCCTTTCTGCATCCTAGGTGGGAATTTCCAAACTAAAAGCCAAATTCAAAACTGGGACAGGCATAAACCAGGGACCTGCAGACACTAGGTGTTATGGTGAAAATCCGGATGTCCCCCAAGAGCCTCAAGCACCCACTCAGAGGCAGGCTTCGGGAAGTGACAGGATGGGGAGTTTATAGCTGGCCTGCTGCTGTGAGGTTACTGTGGGCGAGGCCCGAAGGTTGCTGTCCCACCCAGCTCCTCCCCTTAGGTCTCTCTCTGCTTCCTGTCTACCATGCCATGAGCAGCTCCTTTTCCATGCCGCACTGCAATGCCATCCCGAGAGGGATGCCTATGGACTAAAATGTGAGTCAGAATAAGCCTCCTGTAAGTTACGGGTGTTGGGTCTCAGCAACTAGAACTATGCCACCAAAGCAAAGGAGAACTGGAGGGGGATCATGAGGTCCAAAGAACATAGAAGCCAAAGCAGACAACCCAGATTTGAGGTCCACCTCTACCATTTACAGGCAGTCTTTGGACAAATCCACCTCAGGTTACTCATCTATAAAATGAGAACATCTAAGTGCCTTTCCTTGAAATGCACATATATAAATAAACCATTCTTTTACAGTGTCCCCTGGGCCCTCTGGAACTAGGCTGCTCTTGCACCCATAAAACTGCCTCCTGTGACATCCACACAAGGACCGAGCTCACATCATGTAGAAGTGCACTGAGCTCGCAGATGTGCTACAGAAGTCAGGGGCAACACAAATGAAAAGTGAACTAAAATGCTGGGGACATTCGCATGGCAACAGGAAATAGCAGGTCCAGGATCTCTAATCCTGAGAAAACAACTGGACTGCTTATTAAAGGCACAGGGGGGCTGGCCCTGAGACCTTAGGTCACATTCCGTAACATAAATCCCAGACACAGACCTGGAACTCACTGCACAGCAGAACACTCAGTACAAGGAAAACGGCAGCTCGGGGTCACCAGCTACCCTAGGCTTCCGCCATGCCTCTCTGGCACTGCTCCAGAACTCATGATGTGAGTCACATCTCCACACTGTGCTCAGAGACAAGTCCGCCCTCCCCCAAGCTGCCTTCCTTAACCCGCCCAAAACTCCAGTAACATTAGCAACTGGCCAAGCCTCAAAGTTGGCTGGAAGAAGTAACAAGGCCTTATCATGCCTGGAGGGAAATACTGTTCACTACAACTTCACTGTAGCTGGATCAGAAAAGTCAAGAGAGACTCCCAGGAACTAGCTGGAGGGCCCAGGGCCTCCCATATTAATGGTGCCCACTTCCTAAGCACTACTGACAAGCCAGCTAGGCCTTGTGCTAGCCCGTAACAAGGACTGTCCCACGTGAGACCCAGAACAACCCTACAAGGACTACTACACCTGCTATGGAACAGAAACTGAAGCACAAGCACAGAAAATAATTTTCTGGCACTCCTAACTGCGCCAGGATTTCTCCCAACTATCAGACTCCACCGCTCTCAGCCAGTCTGCTGCACCTCCTGCTGTATGCAGTCCTGAGATGGCAGTTCACCGAGTTCCTTCTCTTCCCAAGAACTAATGTTCAACAAGAGCACAGGGACAACGAGAAACGCACACTCATTCCTGCCACTCTGCCACTGGATATTTACTGATGTCCCTTTATTCCTTGCTCTTATCACAAGTCTGAGCCCGTAAGTGCAGAACTCTGGCCCTGCGACCCTGTATCTGCGATCCTCTATCCCCAACCCCAGCAGGAGTCCCATCAACACCCTTCTGTCCCCCAACCCAACCCCCTCCGCCATACCAAAGTTGTTGGTAGGGTAGCGCTTCCGCAGCCGTTCTGTAAGCCGTGACACCTTGATGCGCAACACCTCATTCTTGCTCAGGAATCCATTGTCCTGTAGAGCCAGCTCATCCTCTGCTGGACATGGGGTACCTTCATCATCCTCCTGTGGAAATAGCTCATGCCAGTCCTGCTCCTGCTGGACAGGCTAGCACCTGCATGCAGGGGTTCCTGGGCACTCTCGCCCAGCCCAGGGCAGTCCCTGCCCACCTCGTCAGCACTCCTACTTACCAGCACCACCAAGTGGGTCTCCTGCCTCCCAAGGTGCAGAGGAGAAAGGGAAAAAACACAGAAAAGAGATAGCAGAAAAAGAAGGTGCTGCGAGGAGCAGGCCTCCAAGCCAAAGGAAACTCCGTACTACGAGCACACGTCAGAGGTAAGCTTAACAGATGCCCTCTTTGGTAGGAGCTCAGTGGTGAAGAGGTTTGGAGAAAGCTGTATGGTACTTTTTTCACATGGGGTCATTATGCAAACAGAAGAGAACATAAGGAAAGAAAATATCCTTACAATGTCTTTCAGGAAACTGTGTTCCACTGAGCTTTTATGTATTTTACAGACATAAAACTGTGAACTGCATCAAGACATAAAATGTGTTCCTCACTGTAGGTCATGAACAGAAGTGCTTAAAGCCCTGCTATATTATCGCCACCATCCCCAGAATCAGAGCAGAGAATCATCTATCAGTCCTGCAGAAAGTTTGCAGCAGTCAAACTTAAACTGCCACAAGATGAGGCTGATCTAAGAGGGAAGGAGCCAGGTGTAAACCACAGCCTGATACAAATTCACAAGCGCCTCGCTGCTTGCACATCAATTTCCCAGTTTACAGAGATACAAGGAGAAAATTATGCCTGCTCTAAGGACCACAACAGCGCAAACGTGGTAAACAGAAGCAAGTGCCGCTAGGCCTCAGAGGCCAGAGCAGACAGGGAGTGGGTTACGTGTAACTGCAGCAAGTGACTGGTCTAAAGGAGCCAGTGGTGCCTCAGCTACGCTCACTGCGGGAGACCCGGACACCAGAGAACCTAAGACACACCTCTCGCTAACATTTCTCCATTTATAAACACTGACTCAAAAGAAATTTTTTTAAGTCTGCAAGCCAAATCAAACACTTCTGCAAAGTATAACTGTTCTAAAATCAAGAAGATGTTGAACTTTCCCTGACCTGCCATTTGGCCATACAACCACTTTCTCCAGTCCCGAAAGGGACATCTTACAAAACACTGCAAAGAGACGCAGGGCAGCAGCCTCCTCCAAATCTGCCCTCCTACATCAAAGGCTCTGAGCCCACTGTGTGCTGCAAAGGTGAGAAGCCACACAACTCCACAGAGCAGGCCATTTCCCAGCGGCTTCCAGAGCCCTGCTGCCCTGACCAGCCCGGACATTTAACACATGCATGATGGGGCCATAATTCATATGGCTTGCTGTCTGGCAACTCTGACTTGAATGTGCTACGTTCCTGCCAATTTAAACCAGTGGCGGTACAAGCCACCAATTGCTCAAGCTGGGGAATGTGTTAACTGGATGGTCACTGGTACCCTTTCCAAAGTTCTATCTAGCTCTGGCCATGGTCTAGCTTTCCATTTGGGGAAAAGAAAATTAAGAAAACAAAACGAACTCTAAAACCCCACAACTTCAGAACCACCCAACCTCTGCCTGGTCAGTAGAGGGTGCTTGGCAAGGGATACCCACCTCAATGGCATCTTTGAATTCTTCATCTGGCTCTGCCTCCTCAGCCTCCTCCACACTGCCCGGCGTGAGGTCCTGGGAAGAAAGAGTCTATGACAGAAGTAGAGAGATGACAGTCCTGTTCCCCACAGTACAGGGCCACCTCCCCTAAGCCAGCACCCAGGCTCCCAAAATACCTGTTCCTGCCCCAGAGGAAATGGCACAACTGCAAGAAAAAAGGAAGTCACAGGAAAGACAGCCATCTCTAACCCAGCAGGGCCAGCGTGCTGGGCGTAGCACCAGGGGTGCACCTCCAGTGGCCAAGAGCAGGGCTCTGGAAGCCTAGGACCGGATCTGAGACCTGGGACCTCCCCACCAGTCAGGGCCTGGGAAGCCAGTCTGTGCCTCTCCCTTCTCTGCTGCCATTAGGAATAATCTTTCTCAATATAACCTACACTCAGCAAGGTTATTTCTAAGACAGTAAGAACAGTACCCAGCACAGAATAAGCACTCAACACCACTCAGGGCAGCTGTTTTTACTACGAAGCACTTCAGAAGCAGTCAGGCTTGGGAAGAAGCAAGACAGAAGCCAATCTTGGAGCTATGCAGTAGGAAGGAGTCAGTAAGAGGAAGACCCCACCTGCCCATGGCCAGCTCTTGCTGCTGGTCCAGGCACTCACCTCAGTGGGCGTGGGGGCAGGCGTGCTGTCCAGCAGGGCAGCCTTCCCCCCAGCGTCCAACAGTAGCGGGCTCTCACAGGCACACTCCTCCTGGTTAGGGTTCATCCGCCGCTGCAGAGATGCCCTGTACTCAGACACCACTACCCAGGACAAGGAGAAGAGGGTGGGGCAGACACAAAAAGGATGAGTGGCACTCTAGGGGTGTCCACTTCTACACGTGACTGGCCACTTTCTCCACACCTCACCCTCTGCTACAGGAAAGAGCTGGTTTCCTAGCTCTGAGCAAGTCACCTAACCTGCTTATGAACAAAAGATACCACCTCCTACCCAAGACTGCTAGAAACCCCACTGTAACTTCTAACCATACAAACAAACACAGTGCCATGCAAGCACAGGTACAGGCCCAAGACCACCAGGCCGCTCGGGCCACTCCAGACTGCCTCTGCACCTCAGAAGCCAGACGGCAGGCGGGTACTCGGGGATCACAAAGAGATGGGCTCAGGCAGCTACTGTGAGACTGTGAAACTCCAGATGACTACAGCCTGGAGGGTGGTGACAGCGTTCAAAAAACACTTTTCCCTCGTCTCCAGAAACTAGCATGTCTGTGAGTGACTCCCCTGCCTTCGGAAAAGAGAGGGAACCTCTCTGTTGGAGCTTTCCCTCTGTTGGAGCTTTCCCTCTAGGAAGTCAGCCTCCCCTAACATCTAAGAGACAGGAGACAGCCTTCCACTGGGAACCCTAGTGTGGTGCTGCCCCCTCGTGGAAGGCACAGCGAACATTAGCTGGACAGAGAACCAGGGAGCCTGCACTGGCCTCCAGAGCTGGCCTGGGCTCCAGCTGCCAGGCTTCCCGGGGCTTACCTCGGAAGAACTCCACATTCCCCAGAAAGAGCGTGCTATTTAAAAGGATGAGTACCCAGCAGAGCGGCAGCAGGTACAGCATGCAAACTGTGCCCAGCAGCGCTCCATAGAACCTAAATGACAGAGGAAAACAAGATCAGAAATTCACAAGGTCAGAAGGAAATAGGTTGGAGTACACCTACACAGATATCCAGGTGAAAACTAGCTCAGGCCTCAGTGAATAAGCCAGAGAAGCCAGCTAATCAAACAAGCGGAGAACAGTGACGGGAAAAATTCCGAGGCCCCTGTGTCCTTACTCGCTAACCACAGATGCTGGAGAGACTGCGGCAGCACCTGAGCCTGGGACACGCCAACTCGCTCAACTGTCACTGCTCTCAGGGTCTAGACTCCGAAGTGGATCTGGAAATGTGTGTGTGTGTGTGTGTGTGTGTGTGTGCGTGCGAGACAGACAGACAGACAGACAGACAGACAGACAGAGACAGGGTCTCACTTTATACTTGAGACAGGCCTTGATCTCACTGTGTAGCTCAGGCTGATCTCAGATCTGTGGCACTTCTCCTGCCTCAGCCTGCTAAGTGCAAGAATTATGGGCATAAGCCACCACACCTGGCCATACTGGATCAGAATTTAGCTCTGCCACTTTTCTCTGTGGTACGTTCCTTGGGTCTCTGACAATTACTACTGCATGTGTAAAATGGAAATTAAAACACTGCCTACCCATCGGCTTACCATAGAGAGTAAGACAATACACAGATGGGCTGGTGAGACAACTCAGCAGACTAAGCACCTGCCTGGGTAAGCACAGGGACTGGGGGTCCATCCCCAGCACCACAGGTCGCACTGGCCCGGGCGCCAGCCCCACCCCCACCCGAGTGCACTGAGCTGGCCACTGAGTCTGGGTGTGGCGCCATACACGCCTGTAATCCCAGCGCTGGGGCTGCTGAAAACAGAAGGATCACTATGAGTCAGCTACAGAGTGAGACCCTGTACCAATACATAAATTTTTTAAAAAAGGATAATACACGGAGCATAGTGCCTGGCCCCAGGCAGAGACTAGATAAATATTAGTCATAATTATGACTCGTGTATGAATAGCCTCAGAGCTAGGCATGGAGGCACCCTGGCAGACCGAAGCAGAAGGGTCACAGGTTCAAGTCCAGCCTGGTCAACTTAGCAAGATCCTGTCTCAAAAACAGGGACAGAGTACAGGTGTATTCAGTACAGAGACTCAGTTCAATCCCTACTATGACTGAAAGAAAAAAAGAAGCCTCAAAACACCCATTCTATTTCATTTAGTAGTTTTATCTTTGAATTTATTCCAAGGAAAAAAACTTCAAAAGATTAAAGCAAATATGCTCACTATAAAGGTAGTAATAAAAAGTAGAAACTGACTTAACTTGTAACACAATGGTCCATAAATCGGTGTATATTAATTTTGTAACACAAATAATGTAAAGGCTTTCTAGCAACAAGGAAAATCACTTAAGATGCAATTAATAAAAAAGAGAAAGAAACCTCACATACATTATGCAGCTGTACAACCACAGAGCACGAGGGTATGACCAACTTCACAAGGCAAGCGGAACATTAGCGGCTATTTCGTGGTAAATTACACGTGAGCTACTCGCCCATTATTAAAGCCCTTCTTCTACCACACATTTTTTAAAAAGCATCTAAACAAAAGCAATACATCGGAGCCCACAAACACACAGGCGGCTCTACACACTGGGTGCTCTTCCTCTGAGGCAAGAGGGCCAGAACACCTCTTGAGGTGTTTTCACCTGCAAACTTCTACAGAGCTGTGGAGGTGAGAGGAGGCCACTCACTGTGAGGACACCACGGGGTTCTCCCAGTGCAGCACGCGGTAGGCAGCTTCACAGGTACAGCACAGGCGGGCCAGAAAGGCCTCCAGCTGAATCAAGCTGCAAACACAAGAGCAGCCGTGAGGGAGCAGGATGGAGCCCAGGAGAGGCGGGCCCGAACCCAGAAGGAACAGCCGGCGAAGCCAAGCTCCTTAACCATACTGGATAGGTTACAAAAGCATGGGAGAAAAGGCCTGGCCAAGCCACTCCAGAGCTGCTTCTGTCCTCTCTTTGAAGCCCGCTGCTGAAGAGGAAACAGCTAACAGTTCTCCCTCTTGCTCAGGCGGGCTGCTTCACTCTTCCAGGGTGCAGCTGCCTCATCTGCAAAATGAGGATCAGAAGACCCTTGGCACAACCCCTGTGAGGGTCCACAGCACAGAGCAGACCCACGTTCCTCCACCTGCGGTGTGAGACACGCAGGCTCCCCTGGGGAATTTCCTTTTGTTTTAGATGCTTTGTGCCCAAGATGCCCTAAGCGCTCCCACACCCACATCCAGGTTCCCAAAGGGCTGCTTGGAGAAATGGCTGCTTCCAGAGCTGAGGCACGGAAGGTATTAAATGAACTCAAACATCCTCTTGTACTTGAAAATGATGAGGAAGCATTTAAAAATGATGGGGATATATCAAAAGAACATAAAACTCAGCTCAAAAGCTATCCTACTGGCCAAATTCAGAACACCTCAGGATCAAAATAAATGAGAGCAAGAGATTATATCCTATTGAATAAAATAAATTCTGTGAGTCCACACTAACAATAGGAGCACTTTCTTATCACAGAACGTCTGTTAACAGCAGATAAAATGAGTCAGTGACCTCTGCAACCACCATAATTAACATTTCCACTAGCTTGAACCAGTAGTCCAAACACGACTGTCCCACTGGGAGGCTTTTTATTAATTTTATTAGTAAAAAGACCAATGCAAGGGCCAGCCAGACAGCTCAGCGGACTAAAGTGCCTGCTTCGGCAGAGCGCAGCGGCTATGGTTTGATCCCCAGTATGCTATGCCGGCCCCGCCTCCAGGGCATGCTGAGACGGACTGAGACTGGGCGTAGTGGCGTGCACCTGTAATCCCAGCGCTTGGGAGGCTGAAAACAGGATTACTATGAGTCCTATCTATATAGTGAGACCCTGTACTAAATACGTTTAAAAAAAAAAAAAAAGACCAATGCAAGCGACAGACCCATCGTACAAGCCACATAATGGGACAGTCATGCTTTCACTGTCGGTAGTACAAACCGCCCAGCAACAAGGATATACTCACGGCCCCATTATGAACATGCCAACCCAAGACCCACCAACGGTTTTTAAAGCAGTGGGTGAGCCAGGCAAGGTGGCACACACCTATAATGCCAGCACCTGGGAGGCTAAGGCAAAAGAATGACAAGTTCAAGGCCAACCTGGCTACACGGCGATTTCCAGGCCAGCCTGAAACACAATGAGACCCTGTCTAAAAAAATAAAACTAAAGCAGTTGGTGAATGTCTAATAAGGAACAAAATATACACAGACTCAAAGTAACTCCTCTCAGATTACTAGCAATGAAAGATAAAATAATTTACAGTAAAGAAACCATAAGCAATTGATCAAACAGTATTTTCTGACATAATGTGTCCATGACGTGGAAACTGTGACACTGAAGCACCGCTTGTCATGGAACTGCCAAAAGTCCATAACCTGAATCTAACCAAAATTGAGGAAGCTTCTACAAAATAAAAAGCTGTACTAAATATTTTAAGGTCGTAAAAAACAAAGACTGAGGAGCTGCTCCAGATCCCAGGACACCAAGGAGACACGAAAGCTAAATGTTAAGGGCCAGGGGTAGGCGCAGTAAAGCGTGCGCAAGGCCCTGAGAGCCATTCTCACCACTACAGAGCACAGAACAAAAAAGCCTGCTAAAGGAAAACTGGGAGAACCTCATTAACAAGGGCAGGGGGTGGGGGAGCTCGTCGACAAAGCACATGCCTCGCATGTCTCAGATCCTCAAAATGATCCCAGGACAAGGCGAGGGAAAAAAGAACTTTATTAATAGAATCGTTACAATGTGATTATAAATACACATATGATAATAGTACTAATGTTACTACAATAAATGTGAGTTGGGGAGATGGCTCAGTGGAATAAGTGCTTCCCTGGCAAGCGCAAGGGCCTGAGTTCAATTCCTGGTTTTGCAAAAAAAAAAAAAAAAAAAAATTTAAATTCACTGTAATAAATGTGATATTTCTTAATTCTGATTCTAATACAGTGAATATACAACAGAACAAATGTTCTATCTGGGGAAAGGGCATATAGGAACTATTAAACTATTCTTGTACTTCTTTTATGAATTTAAAATTATTTTTATAAAAATTGTTTTTTGGTACCTGAAATCAATCTCACAGCCTTGTGCTTGCCAGGGAGGCACTGGGCTGCGGAGCTGAACCCCCAGCCCTTTTTTAAAAAAAGATTCTGAGTCCTCATTTCATCAGCACAGATCCTAAAACTGGACTAAGAAAAGACTGGCATGGCGCCTCCCCAAGGATGGCATGAGCCATCCTGTGACACAATGGATACATGTCATTGTACATTTGTCAAAAGACACAGAACGTACAACACCAAGAGGGACCCTCGCGTAGGTGAAGGAAGGACACTGTGCCGAGATCACTCTCAATGTAGGTTCACCAGTTATAACAAATGTACCCCTGTGGGGAGGCACAGGGACACAGGCGACTGTGGCAGAGGAAGTACAGGAACTCTCTGTACTTCCTGCTCAGTTTTTTGTGTGCCCTAGAAATTAAGGGATTTTTTGAAACAGAAACAACAGATACTGAGGACCCCTCCTGATTACTCAGAATTTCTGGGCAGGGCCCAGGAATCTTTGTTACTTTTTTTTACTACTGCTGTTCCTGTCAAAAGCCTACATGATCCTCTGAAGTTGACACAGTTAGTTAATAGTATTCAGCAGTCTTTTTTAAGATGCTTCCTAAAAATACCAACTATGTCAGGTTTCCACAGTTTCTCCAAAAACACAGCAACAATGACTTTACTGAGCACTTCCTGGGCACCTGACACTCAAGCAGGCTTCCCAACCACACTGTGAGTAAGCCCTATCCTCAGCCCATTTAACAGATGAGAAATCTGAGGCGCAGGGAAGTTAAGGGACTGGTCCAATGCTACACATGTGGAAAGGCTGGGATCTGAACCTAGACAATGGCTCCTGCAGGCATAGGCTTAGTCAAGACTCCAGACCATCTTTACAGGAGAAAGAACATCGCTGTGAAGTCACCTGGACCTGGAGTCTCACCCCAGCCTAGGCACCATCTACCTCCTTTTCACCCGTAAGTGGAGGGTAACAACAGGAGCCACCACACAGAACTGTTAGCACAATTAAATGAAGTATCATCCGTGGTCTGCCCACTAGAGCCGCCGGCGCACTCAGCAAGCTTAGTGAGGTGGCTGCCGTTATCCTTGAGCTGGGCTTGTCTGTTCCCATGCCCCCCTCCTCTCTTCATACTCACAAGCTCTTCACCTCCGCCATGGCCTCAGGGCGGGAAAGGCGAACTTTCTGCAGGTCTTCCTGCCTGATGCTGTGATACTTCCTCCGCATCAGCTCAGACTCCGGCAGCCGAGCCCGGCAAACCTCCTGGAGGTAGCCCAGCAGGGCAGGCACTGAAATCATCAAGGCCCCCACCGAGTACCAAGCGCCTACGGGATCAAGAACATGGCAGGTAGCAGAGGTAAGCAAGCCCGAGGAGCCTGCCCACCCTGCCCACTTGTTTGTCCCTCGCCTTCGCCGGAGTTCTGCCTGAGCCACCTTCTCTGGTCACCCAGTAAGACATGGCATTTCACCCCACTCTTCAGCCCCCTTACCCCAGCCTCATCTTCTTCATAAATTAGTGTCTCCCCCATGGATATAAGCTCTCAAGGACTGGCATTCTGTCCATCGGTCACTGCAGTAGCTCTAGCTTTGTTTTGCTTTGCGGGGGGGGGGGGAGGTTGTTGTTTGAGACAGGATTTCGCTATACAGTTCAGGCCAAACTCTTGGTAATCCTCCTGCCTCAGCCTCCCAAGTCTGGGATTACAGATGTGTAGTACCACACCCAGTCCCAGGTTTGTTTTCATTTTTTAAAATTTATCTTTTATGTATTTGATTATCTTTTATGTATTAGGGTCTCACTATGCAGCTCAGACTCATAATGATCCTCCTGTTCTCAGCCTCCCCAGCTCTGGGATTATAGGCATGCACCACCACGCCCCGACTAGGTGGCCGATTCAGTGCACCGGGGGGCAGGGCCAGCGCGGCATGTGGCGCTGGGGATGGAACCCAGGTCCATGCGCTTGCACCCCCAGGTTTTTTTAAAAAAAAACATTAAAAACTGCTGCTACCACACAGTAGGAAGCCCATGCCTAGAGTCTAGCTGCTGAAAGTTCACAGTAACATTCAGATCTTCAAGCCATTAGGACACTGAAAGTCTTTCCTTCTCATTTAGGGTACTATGGGACACCAAATACAAAAGCCAGGACTAAAGAAAAACATCTTCCACGAACATAATATCCCACCAGCAAGCTGAAGAGCACGAGGCCCACAATAAATGCTTGTTCAGTGCCTATCAGAGGAACTGCTTTCTTTTGGAAATATATACAACCAGAAAATCAAACCTCTGGGAAGTTTTGATCAGGGTCTAAGAAAAAGAATGCGATCTTGTAGGAACTGGGTTTATCTTCAACCCAACGAATCCTTATTTTCAGAGGAAAGAAAGGCGATATGGAGAAGGTATTCACACTACAGGAAAGGCCAACTCCTCAGAACATCCTGCCCAGATCCTTTACTCGATCCCCTGAAGGGGCTGCTCTTCCCAGCACCATCTCCCAGTTCCAACCAGGGAAAGGGGCAGATGGCCGCCAACACTGCAGCAGGCGGTCTGCAGAGCCATCACCACCAGGACCCCTAGATTCATGCACCTGTCTACAAGTCCCTTTCAAAGGCTTCAGGCCCCTCCTCACTGCTGGTGACTGCCCAGCTGAACCTCCAGGCTCATTTGATGCACAATAGGAAATAATGGAATTGCAAAAATCACCCCTCCTCAGCTCATCTTCCTAGTACCTTTACCCCATGCCATGTTCCCAGCTGAGCCCAGAATGAGCTAGAAAAGCACCAAGAGCAAAGGTCAATGCATCAGCAATTAGTTAAGAAGAAAGCAATAATAATAATCATAGCAGCTACACTGTACTGGCTGCCGATTCTATGCCAGGCACTGTGCAAAGTGCTGCACACAGAGTATCAGGAATATCAGGCCTCAACACAAGGGTTAAGTAATTTGCCCAGGTTGCCCTAGCAGCTAGGCCCACAGCATCTCTCCAGAGCCTGTGTTCTGACCCCAAGCAGACCCGGAGAGAAGCTAACCCAGGGCAAGAAGAGGGGCTCTTGCAACCACAGCCACAGCTCTGTATTCTTCCACCAGACAGCCGCAAAAACCCACTGGCCCTGAAAGCAGTTCTTACCCTCATTCAATGTGAGGAACAAGATGTTGAGGCTCACGCAGGTCAGCAAGGAACACAAAGGTGTCTGCCACCTATAAAACAGAGAGTCCTGATCAACACACAGCCACTCTCCAGCTGGAAGGTGAAGCCCCGACAGCAAAGATGGGACATTCAGGCTAGGAGACGAGGAAGGGGCCTGGGGCGCAGAGGACCACAGAGAAATGACAAGTGAGCCTGTCTCGTGGACAGGCACCCAGGAGAAGTGAGATGAGGTCACACATTAGCCCTAGAGGGAAAAAACTAGACCTGTGCAACTTCCTCCCATAAGGGGGTTCCTATTAAGGAACCTGTTTAGCTGCTTCACCTGTTTAGAACCAGAGACTGAACCCAGGGCCTTCAAACTAAGCTACACCCCCAGCCCTTTTCTGTTCATTTTGAGAATGGGCCTCCTTAAGTAGCTACGTTACCCAGGCTGGGCTGAACTCACAGCCCACCTGCCTTAGCCCCCGAGGGTGCTGGGATCAGAAGTGTGCATCACTACTCCTGGCTTCCCCTTTGTCCCTATATTCTCCTTGACAGGTAAACTGACAAATGTTTTCTCTTATTCTTTTTCACACTTGGAAAGAATTTACAACTACTGCCTATGAGTTGATCTAATACAAAAATCAAGAAAGAAAAATTACAGATTTCATTGGCTCTATTTGTGACGTTATCATCTTAGGTCTGTATTTTTTTTTGGTGGAACCGGGGATTGAACTCAGGTCCTTGCGCTTGCCAGGGAAGCGCTTATTCCACTGAGCCATCTCCCCGGCCCCTCTTAGGTCTGTATTTTGTGTCTCAGTAGTCTGAGAGTTTATCCTGAATAGTAAAAAGGGATAAAAAGAGTAAAGATTTTATTTTAATGTATTAAAAACTGAAGATGAAACTAGAATGCAGAATTCACACAGCAAACACACCGTCATGAACTGCAATAGATGAAAAGCAGTTCTGTACCTGCTCCCATCAGAACCAAATAATAATGGAGAGCTGGGGAGATAGCTCAGTGGCTTAGGAGCCTGCCTGGCAAGCACAAGGTCCTGAGTTTGATTCCTGATACCAAAAATAAAAATAGAAAGCCCTGCTTCCACCTTAGGGCCAGTAAAATAGCGGATTAAAGCACCTGCAAGCAGGTGCAGGGGCCTGCCCTGCCGGCCCTGCACCCGGGGCACACTGAGACAGCAATTGAGCCTGGGCGTGGTGGCGTGAGCCTGTAATCCCAGCCCTTGGGAGGCTGTAAACAGGAGAATCACTATGAGTCTGATCTAGCAGTAAGACCCAGAACACCCTGTAGACCCTTCCCTAAAATACAGGGGGGGAAAAAATGGAACAGTTCCCAAGAGGGAACGAAAAAGACCAGAGGCTCAGATTGCTGAGGTCAAGCAAGTGCTGCTGGCTCAATCCCTCATAAGGATATTTACTAGGGAAATAAGAGCACAGATTGATAATGAAGCCACTGAGAGCTCAACTCTAAAGCAGTGTCGATATACACAAGGTAAGCCATCAGAGATAAATCCCGTAAACGGGCAAACAATTCACTCAGAACTTCAGTGTATTTTCTTGTGCTCTAATTAGAGAATTTCAGTTACTACATGAGGTTAGTTTATTGTTTCAGTTTGAATTGAACTGCTTTGGTTTGGTTTGGTTTTGAGACAGGTCTTGCTAAGTGGTACAGGTTGGCCTGGAATTCCATCATGTAGCCCAGGCTGGCCTGGAACTAAGCCTCTTTCACACAGAGATTATAGGTGTGCACCACCGTGCCTTGCTAATAAGGTTAGGTCATAGACTTTTTAATAAAAATTAGGAGGGAATGAAATAACACTCTTACCTTTCTCTTATAATTCACCACACTCTACCTGTATTACCCTAAGCAGACCTCAGAACCACTGCTACCAGGGTAAAAGCTAAACAGAAACCAGATCTAATACTCCTGAAAGGCAAACATCAGACTATCACTGAAGTCACTTTCATTTCTAAAGCTCTCCCATTCCTCCTAATGTTTGGTTCTGGGAGGCCTACAGAATGGAGTAGTTGATCCAAAAAAAAAGTCTTTTATGAACTGACTGCAGCTCAGGCTTTAGACCTAATAGCCAAAGCCCAAGATTAGGTTCCTCTTCAAAGTCAAATCCTCTCTACTAAGAAAAGAATCATCAAAAGTATATACTAATCTGCCAGCCACTTTCAAAGGCCAGTGTTCCCCGGGCCAGCAGGGGAGACCACTGGCTGCGAGAGAAGGGTTAGGCGTGACGTTCCGCCTCGCTCTAGCTCTAACCAATCTCACCATATCCTCAGAACTGGAAACCCTCCTCCTCCCTGCCTCTGTCGCCAAGAGCACAGTGACTCACAGCGGAGAATACGACTCTGGAACCCTGGGCAACACAGGAAGGCCCTGTCTCCTGACGATGGCCCACCATTTCCAAGCTGAGGCAAAGGTGAGGGCTCAACAGCACCCTCAGGGGAACCCAACTTTGCTCACCCCACCTCCCACCAGTTTTCTCAGGCATTTTTGAGGGTTGCAGGTCTTTATGAGAATCCAGAACACATAATTTTACATGCCACTTCAGGGGATTTGACAATCCCCAAAATCCACTAACAGGCTCCAAGTTAAGAATCTCTGCACTTTAAGATAACCACGTTTTAGGACATTCCTGGTGTGATACAATAAGGACACAACATTTATTTTTTTTTTTTTTTTTTTTTTTTGGTGGAACCGGGGATTGAATTCAGGCCCTTGCGCTTGCCAGGGAAGCACTTACTCCACTGAGCCATCGCCTCAGCCACAATATTTATCTTTGCTAAAAAGGTAATACTTATAGTTGAATTCAGTCCCACTTTTAAATCTAACTTTCAGTTTTCACTATCAGTAACCCGACAAATCTAGGTGCGAAGCTCTCCGGGCAGTTATCTCACTCATTGTCTTCAGCATGGGGAAGCAAGCGACTGGCTCAGACGACTGAAACATATTCACGAGACTTACATCTCTTATGTCTTAGTCATATACAATGTACAGTCTCGCACCGGAACCTGACTCGGCCAGAGCGACTCTGCATGTCATTTCTGGGGAAACTAGAGAAAGCTGCATACAAACCAACTACACAAAGATATCAACAAGGGCTGCGAATAGAGCCCAGCAGCAGAACGCCTGTCTGGAAGTACAACATCCTGAGTTTAATTCTCAGCACCAAAAAAAATCTTATTTGTTATTGTGTTACATATGATGTTGATGATGAAAGAAAATGTCTTTAATTATTTAGAGACACAAACTGAAGTATTCAGGTAGTAGAAGGCCATGTATACATAATTAAACATACTTTTAAGAAACAAAGTGAGCTGAAAGAAGAAAATTAGGAATAATAAAAGCAGAGGACAGGGAAAGTGAGACCCATAGTTCCAAGCAACTAGTGAAAATGGTACCTGCTTACTCATAGGTATTTGTACCAACTTTTTTTCAAATTGATATCCTGATTGTAACAACTGTGCTAAAACTGGAAGAGTGGAAATTAAGCCTGTAAAGATAGAGAAGGCCAAAGAATCATACACGCATGTGTAAATACACCATTGTTTCTCTTTTTTTTTTTTTCTTTTCTTTTTGTGGAACCGGAGATTGAACTCAGGCCTTGGCATTTGCCAGGGAAGCGCTTATTCTACTGAGCTATCTCCCTGGCCCCTACACCATTGTTTCTCTAGCATAAGAAACCAAAGGATAAATAAGGACCAAAATGTACAACAGAGGGGCCGGGGAGATGGCTCAGTAGAATAAGCGCTTCCCTGGCAAGTGCAAGGGTCTGAGTTCAAGCCCCGGTTCCACAAAAAAAAAAAAAAAAAAGTACAACAGGTATTGTGAAATAGGAAGAAATGGGGAAGGGCACAAGAGCTGGGGGAGGGGTAAAGGAAAGGGAAAAGAAGGAAAACATGGAAAAGCTTTTATAAATGGGGAGCAGAGAAGGTGTTGAAGAAAGCATATGGGAATGGGGGAAAAAGAAAGTTATAAACAGGTACAAATTCTCTATGATGAATGTGATCATTTATATATAAATGTACCAATAAAATCTGGCTGTAAAAATATTTTTTTAATTTTTTAAAAAAGCTACAGAAGTGGGCCGGGGAGATAGCTCAGTAGAATAAGCACTTGCCTGGCAAGTGCAAGGGCCTGAGTTCAATCCTCGGTTCTGCCAAAAAAAAAAGCTACAGAAGGCCAATGCTAAAGGATGTCTACCAATCCTGAGATAAGATTTTTTTCTAGTTACAAAGCAGCTTGGTTAAGAAGCCAGATGATTCCCCAGTGCCTGCCTCTCCTGAGTAGAGGCAGAGACACAGGTGGGCCTGGACAAATCTAGAGGCCAAAATAGCCCAGGCACTGCCTACCAGCCAGCACTATTCAGAGCAGGGAAGCAGAAGGTCCAGCAGGCCAAAACCACTCCATGAAGTCTGTACCTGAGCAAGTATCGAACGCCATCACCCGCATCCTTCAGAGGTTCCAGGTAGATCTCCAGCCTCTTGTAGGACAGAACCAAGTTGAAAAGATCAAATGCTGGTGTCTTGGTAGGGGCAGGTGGAGACTCGGGGGGAGCCTCCGGCATCACACTGGGGCTCACTTCTGACCCACTGCCCTCACGCTCCGATATCTGCATCCTGTAACCATAATAATTCCCAACAGTTGTACATATCGCACTCCCAGGCCCAACACACTTCTTTCATGTGATACCCATGATAGAGTGAGGCAAGGGGATGGTTATACATGGATTACCATTTCACAGAGGAGGAAACTGAAGTTATGAGTTACTCAGACACAAAATCCTGTGCCGACTCCCATCCAGTGCTCTACTCCCCACAGATGTGTCAAGAACACGGCACACACCTGCCAAGCACCCATGGTTGCTGCAGGAAGGCAGCCTGTGCTCTCAAAAGAAATGACGTCCTAGAATATTTTTTTCTCCCTCTGCTGACAGCGTCTTGCTATGAAACCCAGGCTGTCCTGGGACTGCAACCAGCAACACCTTCCCTGGCTTTTCTTTCATTCTCAACCAGTTAATTACCATTCAGCCTTCTAGTTTCAGCTCAAACATCACTTCTCTGCTCTGGGAAGTCTTGGCCTGTTTCCCTACCAAGCGGCTGGCCTCCGGTCATCACAGTTTCTGTACACAGAGGGTGCACAGTAACTGCAGCTTGCTAACTTAGCAAATGGGCTACACCCTTCCGGGACCATCACGTCTCCACCTTACCCTGTTCTCTCTAATCCTTCCCCTCCCTCTGTTTCCAATAATTTCATGGACCAGCCCTGCGCTTACGGCAGCAGTCACCTTCCAAGCCACCCCACTTCCATCTCTCCTTTTGGATGCAGCGAGCCACAGGAACCTTCATGCTCTCTCCTACTTTCAAAGTCCAACCACCCCGGGCGCTAAGCAGCATGTGAAGCAGTACAGGAGGGGGCGGCGTCTCCGCAGTCAGTCCCAGGCAATAAATTGCAGCCGGAGGTGGGGAGACAACAAAGGGGCTGTTGGGAGCCCAAAACCCCCGAGGACAAAGCTTGGAGTAAAGGTACCTGGCGAGGCGCGGGAGCCTAGGGAGGCGGGAAGCAGGTCAGTGGCAGCAAATGCTAGGACTGCCACCTCTGCAGCCCAGGAAGCCCGCTGGAGTCCCCAAGGCCCTGGCGAAGGCCACACCCAAGGTGGCTCGGCCAGCAGGTGGCAGACCCGCGGGGTCCGGCCGCCCAACTCTGCACTGTCGCGGGAACGCGGAGGCGGGGACTTGGTGGCACCTCACCCGGACGCTGGCTCGGTGGGGGGAGGGGCAGGGACGGCCCGAGGCACTGGGAGGGCCACCGGCCGGCCGACAATTTCTTCAAGCCCGCCCCACCCCTGTGCTGCGACGCCCCCCAGGGCGGTTCTGGTGCCGCAGGTCCGAGGGCCACCCGCGCTGCCACCGCCACTTCCGGAACGCGAGTCGCTCTGCGGCGGCGTGCCCGTGACGTCACCGCGCCGGTGCCGCCCCTGGCCCTGGCGCGGGGCTCAGTTCCAGCCACTCGAACAAAGGTGAGCGCTCGGTTTCGCGCTGCGCCTGCGCGCCTCTGCAGCCGCTTGGGTTAGCTCTTCACCTCTGCGGCCAAGATCGCAGAGTGCTATGGAGCATACCCCTGGTGATCCTACACTTCGCTACCCCTCCTTGCTCCGCAGTAGTCAGAAAGAAGCACAAACTGCAGAATCTGCATCCTCACCCCCAACTTTGGCAGGCACTAGTCTGGGTAACTGGCGCCCCTGAGATTATGAACCCCGGAAAGGAATGATGCATGTCCTGTAGGCCAGTACGCAGAGAATGCCTTCTGGGTCTCCTGCTGTGCACAGGACTCTGCCCAGGGCTTTCGCAGCTCAGTCCCCTTCACCCTGTGCAGTCCAGTTAATGTCCCTTAAACCACATGTGCTACAGTTTTTTATTAAGACAGATACATTCGTGTACTGAGGACTCACCACCCAAGCGCTCTTGTGTAGTGGAGGCATTATGTAGTCCTCTTCTGGCAACCTCGTTAGGATTACCGCCACTTTACAGGGGAAATAGCCTACATATGTTAAGGAACTTCTCGAGCGTCGCCGCAAGTGAGCTGCCAGAGCTGGGATGTGAATCTCGCGTGAAGTCGACCTCCACGTGAAGTCGGCCTCCGCGACCCGCCCCCTGCCTGTGCTGCCCCCACTTTCACCTGCGTTTCCCGCCCGATCCCTGCTGCTCTGTTCTTCAGGTGCCTCCGTGTCCTGTCGGCCTTCCAACACCGTTGTCTCCCTCACTGCTTGGAATGCCTGTCTGCCACCCTTGCTAACCCTTGCTTCTGTGCAAAGCCAACCCAGTCCACTCAGCAACTCATCTCTGTCTGAAAGCCATCCCTGGTTGCTCCCGCAGAAATAATCACTTCCCTCCCAAAAACCTGCAGAAGTTCATCCACATCTCTTCCCGTAAGTGTATCCTTTCAGAAAGCTGCCGTGCTCCTCCGACCAGGACTCAGCTGTGTTCAGACTTCCAACTCTGCTTACTTCTGAGGCCTTGTACCATCCAACAAGCCCTGAAATCCACACTCTCAGCAGCTCTTGCCACTCATCTTAGAGACAAAAATCCGTAGAAGCTGGGTGTGGTGGCGCACGCCTGTAAGCACAGCACTCGGGAGGCTGAGGCAGGAGGATTGCTTTGAGTGTGAGGCCAGCCTGGGTTATAAAGTGAGTTCAAGGCCAGCCTGCACTGCAAAGCAATACCCTGTCTAAAAAAGAAAGAAGAAAAAGAAAGAGAAGGAAAATGTTTCCTTTACCCTCTCTGCCTTTCCTTTCCTTTCCTAGCTGAGACCCGTTCTGCTTCTGCTTCCGTACCCACTGCACCAAAGCCCTGTTTTCCTCCGTGCCGCAGGGCTACCTGACTGCTCACCTGTGACTTCCCGACTGCTAAATCCAGCGGACTCCTCGGCTCTTCCTGGCAGGTGAGCCCCGCAGCACTGGAGAGCCCCCACTCCTCGTCCCTCCTCAATCCCCTTTAGCCAACATGATATCCTCTCCTGTTCATCTTCTACCTTCAGAGTCTCCTTAGGGCCTTTCTTACTGTCCCTCAAATGCTGTCCATCTTTCACCCTCTTCCTCCTGACTCCAGGACTCTACCTAGGGCCATTCATTTTCAGAACTTTCAGTGCCCTTTCTGAAAATATTTTTTATAATTATGTCTTCAGCAACTAGAGCAGCCTCTGGCACACTGTAGGCATTCTGTAAAACAGGGTTTGAAGATGTTACCATTAGGGGGCAGTACATGGGATAGCTCTGTATTGTTTCTTTAACTATATTTACAATTATCTCAAAATCAAATGCTTGTACTATGTGGGGATTTTTTAGTAGTTTGTTGCTTTAGTCAACATTATCAATTAACTGGCATATGCCAGTTCCAGCATGAGAAGGTAGGAGGCCTTCTGCTCCGATGAGTTGCTCAGTTGGTTTTTCCAGCTATAAAACAGATAATTATAGTACCAACCTCACAGGGCTGTGGTGACAGTTAAATGAGCCAATAGTAAAAATTCTTGGTATAAGTGTTCAAAAATGGTTAGCCAGCATTGCTGTTTTCATTTTTACTCAAAACCCTGTCACCATCACCCTAGCCCAGACATCAGCCAAGAAGGGCTAGGATGTAGACAGATCCCAATCACACACACACACACACACACACACACACACACACACACACACAACTAAACTCTATTCAGAAATCCACTCCCCTACTACTCCTTAGAAGACTGAGCTCAGCATTATGGCGCCACCGAAAGCTGTCTGCAGGACTCTGTTTCCCTCCCTTGGAGTGAGCCTTTCCCCAAACTTTATTGTAGATGTTTTCTCCTAGAATACTTTTCCCTTCTTAGAAAGAAGAAAAATTTTGACTTCACTGTCTTAACTACCTAAAAGTCTACCATAAGTAATTACTCCAAATGAACATTTTACATTCTTTGCAATTCTTCCTCCTTGTGTTATTGTTGAATGGACCAGTTCTTGTATATGACAAGGAAAGGGTTACCAAGTGTGCACCCAGTGCTGAGCAGCTGTACTTATTGAGGATCACAGGAAAAGCAGCAGCAGCAACAGAGAAAAAGGGGAAAGAGAGAACCAATAACTTAGGCTTTCAGTTTTTTTGTTTGGGGAGTTTTGGTTTGGTTTGCAGAATTTTAAAGACCAGATGGCCCCTCTGGCTTTGGGTGCCTACCTCCCACAGCCCTCCCTTGGCACCCACTCTGCCGCCTAAGGCTGGGCAATCTCTCAGGTTTTTGTTATTTCAGTTTGAACATGAGAATAATGGAAGCAGGAATAAATGTTAGGTGCTAGTTAGGTTGAGACTGGGGTAGGAAGTGACTCACTTGGCTCCTTTGCTTCTCACTGCCACTTGGGTATGTCAGGCCCATTGGCCTCAAACTGGCTAGTAATAGTATTGGCTTTCATCTCCAGCTGCTGTGCAGTCGGGGAATCTTTTCTTAAACTAGACATTCTTTGGGATATGGGAGATGTAAGACAGTTTAAGGACCAAAAAGGGACAACAGTTATGGTCAACAGTGAACAAAGGCCTCCCCTGGCAGCAAGAGACTGGCTAGGTGGACTCAGGTTTGGTGTTTAATTCTAATTGACTGACTAGTTGATTAATTCATTGATTGATTGATTGATTGATTGATCGACTGATGGAAGAACTGGGGAACAAACCCCAGAGACTACACACACTAGGCGAGTGCACCACCGCTGAGTGACAATCCTAGCCCTAGCCTAGATTTTTGTAACTGGGCTCCAGCTCACTCTTTCCCTTCTTAGCATTTCAAGTCAGAGAGGTAGAAGAGACGAAGGGAGAAAAGGTAACGAGGGCAATTCATACCCCAACTTGACATTGCTCAGAAATTATAGTCCTTGCGCCCCAAAGCAAGTATGTTTATGGCTCACATAACTGAGTCATAAAACTCACTACGGCCCTTAGACTAAGAAATGTTGCACGGAACAAGCTAGAGTGGGAAATGTCAGGCATGGTGCACACGCCTTTAATCCCAGCACTCAGCAGGCTGAGGCAGAAGGATCACAAGAAGTATGAGCCAGCCTGGGCTGCATAGGGAGTTCAAGACCAGCCTGGAATATATAGAGACCCTGTCTCAAAAACAACAAAACGAACAAAATGGAGTGGGCAAGAGGAGAAAGGCCAGGCAGGCCTCCGCCACCAGATGGCGCCCTCGCCCGCTCTTCCCAAAATCCTTAGGGCCATTTCTTCCAACTTCAAGTTTCCTGTTGGCGTGCATCATGCAGGCTCCACTAATTTCTCACCATTTCTTTAATATGCCTGATCTTTTCATACTTACGGATATATTATCTATGTCTTGCTGTATAACGAAGTATTTTAACATTTAAAGGCTTAACCAATGATGAACACACGCTGTCTCACCCTGGGGGGCTCTGGGGGGCTTGCAATAGGAAGTCAAGCGCGGGCGGCGTAGTAGGCATCTGGCTTGGGGCCCGCATGGGCTGCAGTCAGTTGGTAGCTAAGCCACTAGATGGCTGTTGTGGTTTAAACATGAAGTGTCCCGCACAGATCCATGTATGGAGGGCTTGATCCCAGTGCAGCAGTGCTCAGAGGTGGGACCTAGAGAGGTGACTGGATCAAGCAGGGCTCACTTCGTGCAAGGCTTCATTGCTGCTCCATTAGCTGAATGAGCTGGTAGAGGGAGCGCCCACTGGAAGAAGCAGGGCCCTGGAGGGAGCTTGGAGCGGTACTGTGCGGCCCAGGCTCAACCCCTCCACTGCCCCCTGGTTCTTTCCCTTTGCTCTGCTTCCTGACAACCATCAATGGGGCAGCTCGCCCCTCTACACCCTCCTGCCATCGTACTTCTGCCTTGAAGCCCACTAACCATGGACTGAAGCCTCTGAAACAGTGAGCTAAAGCAGACCTAATGTCAGGCAGGTAATTAGACCTTGGCAGGCCTGAGGCGGGGCGGCCGAGTAGCACCCATCGCCAGTTAATGAAAGAAAGACTTCCACGTATAATAATACATCAGTAATCGTTTGTGAGGTCTCAGGCCCGAAGCGATCCCGTAGAGCACAGTGACATCTTATGGCCACACACTGCACGCATTCTTCCTGCTACGTGATCCCCTGGTCAACTAACTCCAGAACAAGGCCTACTGCATTCCTGGCTACCACAGCCTACAGCCAACAAACCAGGAAAGGAAATGTTCTTTAAAGACCCTCTTACCTTGGGGGTGTACATTTTTTAAACTAAGAACTTACCTTTTGTAGGTTTCTTTCCTAAGTTTCTTACATGACTAAACCGCTGAGGAAACACTGACCAGCTAAATGGGGCAGGAAGACATTTTGCAGTTCCAGAATAACTTCTAAGTAAAATATTGATAAGTATTATAATTACCCCAATTCCCTGAACCCCAGGA